CAAACAAGAGGGAGTGGGGTATCTGCTCAATAACAATGCCTAGCTCTTCGTACTCTCTGCATGGCTGGGCTACTCCATGTTTTGGCTCAGTAAGTCGTTGCTTGAGCTAGTTTCCTAAAGCTGGATTCTGCCCACACATGCATACATGCACACACACACCTTGTCCCCACTGCCAGCTTTGCACTACGAATTTAGAGCCTGGCCAGTCCCCACTAGCACATTAGAGAGTTGGGAGTGTGTGACAGATGCAGCTCAGCAAACTGCAGCACCACAACAAACAAACAAAGCCCAACAATGCAAGGAGCAAATCCCATCCACAGCTGTGTGTTCCTGTACAAAAGAGCTGAAAAATCATTTTGAAACTCTGGACTGGTGGTTTCTTAGCCAGCCAGTAGCAATGAGTATTCTTCTTGGTCTGCACTCTAAACCAATGCGGGATTCATTTCCACTTAGGGCTTTTAGATGGTGGGGGAAAGTGGAAGAGGAGGAATTAAAAAAAAAATCCTAGATGCTAATGTAGCACTGGTGTTCCTTGGCCCAGCTCAAGCCTTCTCTGAGGAGAAGGTGGATAGATGAGGCCTTCACTATTCAAATGTTTCAAGGGACAGTCTCAGCAGGGTTTGGCAAGGTCTCAGAGGAAGATTTTTTTTTTTAATGGAAATGCTAAAGACACTGAAACCCAGCACACTAATCAAGAGATACATTCCTCCTACTGGTGCCCCTTGACTTACATTGACAGTCTAGGGTAACAAAACAATGGCACTAGAATAACCAGGGTTGTGTGAGAAGAGATGGGGAGGTCAAAGGTGGGGGAGGGGGGCAAGAGTGTTCGGTGGAACATGATACCAGGCCAAGGCTCAGCAAGGTTTGGTTTTGTCTATTACATGGAGCCTGGATTCCAGTGTCCTCAGTTCATTCAAATGACCCCAGAAACAACTTATGGACTGATCTATCTTAACAGAAAAACCCGAGTGACAATGAAGCTTTATATTATTTTGTTTTAACTGAACATGCTCACTTGTCTTTTTTCTTTTTTTTTTTTTGTTTTAAACATAAAAAGGTTTTTTTTTTTTTTTTGAAGACGACATGCAGGGTTCAGTGAACCCTAGGAATAAAAAGGACAATGGTTTTGAGCCAGGATGGTTGGGGAGTGTGTAAACCTTACTCAGCTCAGAAGATGATTCTACTGGCTGTGAATTTTTACCACCACACTCCACCAGTCATGGGAGGCTTGAAATAAGTCATAGCTTTCCACAAGGGCATGCCAACAAAGTCAAGGGGCCAAGAATTGGCAGGCTAAATTCTTTTTTCTCCTAAACCAATAGCAGCTGTTGGCTGTGATGTCTTAGGCAGATGTTACAAAAAGATTTTGTTGCTTTTTTTCATTGTGTGTGTGTGTCTGTGTGTGTGTGAGAGAGAGAAATTTTCTGAAAGGGAGGATATGAAACACTTTGGTTTTTTTCCCCCTTCCTCCCCATCTTATTGCACTCTGGATTCTAGTAAGTTATAGGCTGCTATTCCCCTCACCCTCTGTCCTGCCAGGTGATTACACATTGACCCAGATGTGCTGGGAGAATGGAGGATGAAGGGGCCTTTTTTCCATAGCATCCAGGTTCAATAAACAAAACTGGAAAGGGCCCAGAAGCTCTAAGAAGTTTCCTTCCTTTTACCTAAAAGTGACTTCAAGAAGCCAAGAGTTTGCTGAGTGAACCATTCTAAGCATCTATCCACTGGGGTCTCTGGCTTAATAAATTTTTGTCTTTGGCCGTGCTTTGTTTTAACATTTTTCTAGCTGACTTTTGATGGAAGGACAGGGTGGAAAAAATCCCTTGACTTTAATTTAGCTTCTACTTTATACATTTACTTACAATAAAAGAAAAAAAAACCTGCCTAATCTTTCACTAACCATCTTATTGTTCTCATGAATTCAAGAGGTAGCAAGGTAACGGGTCTGTTCACACAGACTCGCTCTTTAGTGAGGGAGGAAAGCTAAAAACATACACACACACACACAAAACAAAACAAAAACCAAAAAAAATAAAATAAAAAGTACCTAAGGAACTTGTAGCAAGTCCAGCCTACATCAAAACCCTTCTCTACCCCACCCACCCCAAGAATTAACCTCAGACCTTCCAGTTCAAACATTCACATAAACATTACAATGGTTTTTCCTTTAATAAAACAAGTACCGCTAAGCAAAGAATATTCATACGAAACTACTAGAAAAGTAAAGACGACCCCCTGCTCACTGAAAGAAATTCCCAGGGCATCCACACCCCTGTTCAGTCATGGGTGAGGCTGCAGAGGTAAAGAGGAGGAATGAGGCATGTGGCTAGGTATTCCAAGGTTAAAGACTAAACCCCAACAGGAAAAAGAACGTGTTGCCATCCGAAACACTACTAGGCACACACCTAGGTAGACTGCTTTAACCAACTCCACCTTACAGGGAAGGATAAATACCTCCCATCACCATCTCAGCTTCCCATAGAATTTAAAGGGGCTGCCAACCCTGTTACAGTCAGTCCACAGCTTCTGCCCTGGGCACAGAAAAACCAATACTTTGTAGCCACTTAGGCTGTTGGAAAATGGGGTTCCTTAAAAAAAAAAAAAAGAAAAAAAAGGAGTGGCAAGAAATGCCCTTATTGAGTCTGGTTGTGACAATATTGTAACACGAGCACAAAAGGCAAAGCTCACAGAGTAGCCAGTGGATGACAAATTCCACTTGCACTTTTCATTAATGCAGGAAATAACACTTGATCAATGTCTATAAAGCACTACAGGAGTACCAACAAGAGGTGAATAAAGGGTTGGTACAGCCCAACTTGATCCAATCTCCCTTTGGGCAATATAATTTCTCTCTCCATTCCTACTTACCATCCAATAGTCAGGAGGCCTCACTCCTGTTACCTGGGTGTGGGGATCAAAAGAAGAGTGGCCAAATCAACACCCACAAAAATAAATGGCATTTCTTGCCACACCACTGAGATGTGGGAAGGAAGGGGTGGGGAATGATTTGTGAATGGCATCAGCTCCGCTGTGGACCTACATTTGTCTTTTTATAAAAAATGTTAAAGCTACATTTGTTTAGGCTGCCCATGACCGAACAAAGGAGGGGAGTTGCCTTCTTAAGCAGCAAGTTTACAGAAAGGTAAATCACTGCGGATGGGCTCGAAGCTCATTCTGGAGTCTTTGGCTTATGTGGGAGAGGTATGCATTCGCAGGTGGCTGATCAGATTGCGCTGCTGGGTGAATTTCCCACCACACAGTTGACATTCATAGGGTTTTTCTCCTGAGTGGACACGCATATGCTCTGTCAGTCGGTACTGCCGGGTAAAGCGCATCCCGCATTCCTCGCAAGCAAAGGGCTTGAGCCCTAAATGGCTGCGCATGTGCCGTGTCATGGTACCCCGCTGCGTGAACATCTTGCCGCAGATGTTGCAAGGGAAGGGCCGTGTCAGCCAGTGAGTCTTCTCGTGCTGCCGCAGAGTGGCCGGATCCTTGTAGCTCTTTTCACATATGGAGCATTTAAAGGGCCGGGACTCTGCAGCGTAGGGCTGGTTAGGGTTGGACAAATCCTCGGCTTCCTCCTTATCATCATATGTGCCTTCCTCCTTGATGTAGAGGTCTTCCTCGGTGTGCGTCTCCACGTGGGCATTAAGCTGCTCAGAGCTAGGGAAGCCCTTGCCACAGGGGATGCAGACGTACAGGTTGTCACCATAGGCCACAGGCTCAAACCCCTCCTGCCGGTAAACGTAGTTGGCACTGGTGTGCCCACCACTTTCACACTCACTCTGGCCACTGTCATCACTCATCTCCTTGCCATTTTCAATCTCCTCTCTACACTGGAATGCCTGCTCCGGGCCATAGGCGTTGCTTAGGTTCCGCTCGGCCGACTTGGACAAGGGACCCATCAGGATGCCATTGGGCAGCCCCTCGCTTTCCTCGCCACCTTTGATCCCCTCATTCCGGTCAAAAGCGTTGTCTTTCTTGATCCACTCCTTTTTGCGTGCAGCGTGCCGGAGGCTCTTGCGCTGGCCACTCTCCGCCAGGGAGTGAGTCTCCTCGTTCATGTCCATCTTCATGGGTTCACTGCTGTCTGCTGCACTGTGGGGGGCTCCGGCGGCAGACTCGTCGAAAGATGAGGCACTGTTGGCTGCAGGGGCTGAGGCAGATTGGGGAGAGCCATGCTGGCTTTCGCTGAGCTGCGTGTCATCCTGGGAGGCTGCCATGGGGAGCGATGGGCTTTTTTTGGACAAGTCAAGGCCAAGCTCCTGGTCACCATTGCTTCCATTTGCACTGCCACCACCACTGCTGTTCTTGTTGGCTCCCCGGCTTAAGGAGTGAGAGTTCTCTTGGTTAGAGCTGCTGATGAAGATCTCATCATCAGAGACCTTTCCCTTTGGCAGCTCCTTTGAGTGTGAGCCCTTCATCCCCTCAGTTGACCCTGAATAACGAGTTTGGATGACTGAAGTGGTAGAAAGCCTCTGACTCCTGGGAGGTCTCCCGATACTGGGCCCACCGGCCCTGCCAGAGAAAGACCTCCCATTCCGCTTCAGCTTCTTCCTGCAGAGAGCTGCAAGGTCGTGCAGTTGGAGGTAGCTTGCTGCGGTGAGAAGAGCATTAAAGTTCTGTTCACCAGGCTGGTCAGTCGTTAAGAGCTTCCCAGTATAAATAAAGTCTAAGATCTGTCGGAACACAGTGGGGTTCACCATGTCCGTGTCTAAGTTAATTAGGTTGTCATGCAGGACGAGGGATTTGAAATACATGCTGCTGGCTGCCAGGATGTTCTTGTGGGCACGAAACAGGGCATTTTCTACCACAATAATCACGTCACAGAGGAAACCTTTGGCTCGTTGCTGGTTCAGCTGCAGTAGCAGTTGTTTGGCATGATTTGGCAGTTCCATCTCCAACTTCTCTTCCTCTCACCTTCGCTTTACCACCTGCAAGACAGGAGAACACGTCTGTGAACTCACCGCTTCCACTTGGACAAACTTGTGTTTAACAAAGTGGGTTAAAAGACTGCTGTTTAACATTAGGTTTGACACTGACTAAGGAATTCTGGGTGCATTCCAGAACTGCAAGCTGGGCTCCTACTAAAAATACAATGAGAAACATTTCTCATTGTAAAGCCTCAGGAGGGAGAAGGAGAGGGATGTGTGTGTGGGTGTGCGTGTGTGTGGGGGTGTGCGTGTAAACAATCATTATATGCTGAAGCTACTTATCCAAAGGCATCAGCAGAGAAGCAATGGAAGGGGGAGTTGGGGGAAAAAAGCAAGCTGATTCACCATTATTTGTATATTTGAAACATAAAATATTTAACATCAACAGCAGCTTTCATTGCTTTAAATATATGATTTGTGTCTTTTGGGTTAAAGATATTACATGCAGCAATTGATTCCATATGCAAAGCAATTTAATTACGCTGAGGTAAGAAATTGGGTAGGGGTGGCTTTTAGACATATCAAGTGTGAGTTTAAAAATTTCTCCCAGTTCAAATCCTCCGCCTGGTTCTCCTGAAGACAAGAACAACAAAAATCAGTGCTCCAAATTAATTAGCATTGTTAAAATTCTTTAAAGTGCTAAATGTTCTTGTTACTATGGCTAAAAAGCTCATCAATAATTTAAATGAAGTAATAGTACATAAGATTTTTGTTGAAATAGATTAATTACCTATTTCATGTCATTCTCTCTTTTCTCCTCCTCCTCCCCCAGTATACGTGGATTTTTAATGTTGACAGCATCTTTGACTTTTGATCATCATAAATATCCACTGACTTTCCAAGCACTATTTTCATCTTTTGAAATGCATTGCAGGGGGGTATTAAGATTCCACTTATCTGGATTTCCAATTCCTTTTCTACTTCATTAGCTGGATTTCATACACAAAGAATCCAATCCTCTATTTCACTGATTTCAGCATTCAAATTTTGTGAAGGCTTTTCCCTGACATCTATTTTAAAAAGTCCCTATTCCTTCCCAGCCAAATTATTTTGGGTAACTGGCTTGGTGTTAATGAACTTCCTTCAGATTGAAGTGTAAATTCTCCCCCCCCCCCAAAAAAAAATTGTGATTTGTATAGATAGTTGCATAAATTTACTAATTTCTACTAAACACCAAACATTAAAAAAGTTTGTTTGTCAACACCCTCTCTATACTTTGGTTAATTAATTTCTACGTTAGCCTCCATTTTTCTCCCTCTGGTGAACCTCAAGAATTAATTCCAATTAACTTTTTACCCATATCTGGAATAAAACCACTCTCTTCAATAATATGCTCTTACCCAAGGAGAGTTCATATTGAAGTCTTTGAATAAGGACTGGCCTCCAAAAATCAGCTGTATGTAACATGAAAAGTGAGACCGGAGAATTAAGTAAGGTGTTTGGAGGCCATAAAAGCACTGGCTGTATTCTTTTGGATATATAGCATCTGCCAGAATGTATTCATGCTTTTAACCATTTCTGTGATTTCGACTTGTTCCACACCATTTTTGTACAAATTTAATTATTTCAGTTAATTCTGTGATATTACATTGATGTTGCCAAATCAATACAATCCTGACACACACACAGTATAAAGGTGTCTTCTATCAGAAAAGCTTATTACTATAGGTATCTTTGCATGGATCTAACTATGGCCACTGTAGGAGCTGTACCAATTTAACAATAGTTTTCAAATCAGTATAGTTAAAGCAATACAGGAATGGAGTGTAGACCAAACCTTAGACTTCTAAAGGAAAAGAAGCATCAGGGGTTGGCAAAGTCTGAAGGTTCCAATGTGCTGAGAAATCTACAGAATACTCCAAAATATTCCCCTTCTCATTGGTCTGCATCTTGCTCAAACAGGGTGTGTCTACAGAGTAGCATTATTTCGGAATAACGACTGTTATTCCAAAATAACACTGCAAGCGTCTATACATGAATTCTATTATTTTGACATAAATCTGAAATAACGGATGGCTTATTCCGACTTCTTAAACCTCGTTCCACGAGGAATAACGCTTATTTCGAAATAGCCATTTTGGAGCAGCAGCAGTGTGGATACTCCACTGCTGCTATTTTGAAATAGCTCCTCCCGAGGCCCATTCAAATTAATTACTCCCCAGTGCCTCCTGGGACTCTAAATCGAGGTAGCACGTCCACATTAGGGAAGACTGCCTTGGGCTAATTCTGAGGCTTCCTGGTAGTGTAGACGTGCTATTTCGAAATAAGCTATTTCGGAGTGCAGTGTAGACCGACCCACAGTTCCCTCCCTGCTCATATGCCATCCAGAATAGTCTTGAAAACCTGCTTCCACTAGTTCTCTCAGTATTACAAGCTTCTCTCCCACTCCCAGCCCAGATGTCCTGTCTATCATTTAATGACTTTCTCCAAGGAAATAAGCCTTGATCATAGCGATATTCTGCTAGCAGTAAAGGGTGTGGCATTCTCTTTTTAAGCTTAGTCAGCTAGTTACAAGTTCATGTTTTTTGTTATTTGTGCTTCCTCTTACCACAGTATGACCCATCTCATCCAGCTGGATTAAATCTTGTGGAAATTTTTTTTGAATGATGCTGTTAATCTCAAGGGCTTGAAAAAATCCATTTTACCCCTAGATAATGATGAATGGTAAGTAGGGTTGCCAGATGGTCTCCCAAAAAATACCGGACTCCCAGCCACTCCCTCCACCCTCTGATCGTGGCCCTGCCTTCCAGCCGCTCCCTCCGCCCACAGTGCACAGCTGGAAAAATCAGCGAATACCGGACATTGCACATGTCCAATATTCTCTGATTTTTTTTTTACCGGACAAACAGCACAAATACCGGACACCTGGCAACCCTAAGGGTTCCTGGCAAGGGCAGTGGGCCTGTGCCATTCACTTCTATGCTATGCAAGTCGTGGCCCTGCCTTCCAGCCGCTCCCTCCGCCCACAGTGCACAGCTGGAAAAATCAGCGAATACCGGACATTGCACATGTCCAATATTCTCTGATTTTTTTTTTACCGGACAAACAGCACAAATACCGGACACCTGGCAACCCTAAGGGTTCCTGGCAAGGGCAGTGGGCCTGTGCCATTCACTTCTATGCTATGCAAGCTTTCACTGAACAGCTGAACTTCTAGTCCTTCTGGCTGTACAGAAAGTCTTCCAAAAGTAAGCCAGTGCAAAGCTTTTCTTTTCTGCTAAGAGGCTGCTTTTTCAGTACCTCCGCTGCTGCTCACAGTCTGCAAAGTGTTTAGTTGACTCTTCAACAAGATTCATTTTTTACATCTGGTTAGTATGTTGATCTGACAGCGAGTAGGTGTTTGGTCAAATTTTCAAGCCATGTTCAATATCCATGTTCATCCAATCCAGTGCATGTATGCACACACTTTTTATATATATTTAAAAATCTAGGGCTATATTCACTGGTACATTCTGGCTGCCTTTTGTTTCTGAGACTGCACAGAGCGTACTGGTGAATTCAGCCTCTACTGTGCAGAAGTTTAACACTGTTCTCAGAGATGGGTGATTGCAGGCCTGCTGATAGGGGGGAAGGGGAAGTGTTGTAGATTGGGGAGAAGAGTACAAAGAGAGGCCTGGAGGACCTGGCTGCCAGTGCTGCTACTGTGCCAGAGTGCTGCTCTGCGTGCCTCTGCGGGCAGAGGCGGGAGGACAAACTACACAAGGCCCCACCCCTTCTTGGGGTGCAGAGCCATCCCCCACATTTTTCCCTGGGGCCCCTGGTGGCTGTCATCTCCGCTGGGTGGATGTTGGAAAGGGTGGAGGACAAGGAATAAAATACAAGCTTGAGCAAAACAGTAATTATTCATTTCTTCTCCCCTCCGCATGTGGCATTTCTGTCTGTCAGAGCTGCAAGAAAGCCCTAGGAGACCAGGATCTCCACTATTTAATACTGACAAGTATTTTAAAAACTCTGTATGCTGCAATTAGCCACAATGGAGAGTTGCCACAATGGAGAGTTGCAACACACATCCAATTTGTCTGGTTTTCATGGCTTGCTTGCAGAACTCCTTATTAAATAGAAGAACACCACCCAGGCACCAAATACCAACATTTATCATCTAGTCATGTAAACTATGACTAACTTCTATGTTAACAATCCATATGGAAAGGGAAGGGGAGAAAACATTACTTAGATCATCTCTAAATGCAACATATATATATATATAAGTATCTATTACTCTGGCAGAGAAAATGGTCAGCTGGTTACACTGTCCTCACTAATAGTATGATTGCTGTTTTATGTGTACTATCCCACCAGTGTTCTCTCTAATTTTTTCCCATCTGTGTGTGGAATTTTTTTGTGCACCAAAGGGAGTATAGATGTGCACCACCGGTAAAAACACATACTTCCGACTGTGGAAGCTCTGCTAATCATCTGGGCAGCATTCAAATCTCTCCTGGATAGCTGCTGAAGCACTCAGCTTACAAGGAACATTGCACCCGAATCCAAAAAGAGAGATTTTAAGCTATTCCATAAAGGAGATCTGTGGAAAGGGAAATGAGGCACAATAAAAGATCTTGCCTAGCCAGACAAATGAGAAATTTCATAGGTTACTGAACTAAAACCCAATTTATTTCACAGTTTGCGTCACTTGAATATAGTGATGTCCACGCAAATTTGTATGCACAGTATGTGCTCTACACCTGAATTGCAAATGCTTGTCTGATATTAGGCTTTGCAGAGACCAAAGAGCTGCTGCAGTTGCTCAGAGGAAAGACTTTTGATTAAATCATATCAAATGAAATCAGGGAACTTGCTGTGGAAGCCTCACTTGAAGTAACTGAGATATTCATTTTGGTGTTACAGCACAAATACTAACTATGGAAATAAGTACCCTAAATGGTAAAAACAATGGAGAGTGCCTTGGCCCACTTTGGTAAAAAACACTTTGTCAGATGCATCATTACCCACAAATCTGTTAGTCTTTAAGGTGCCACAGGACTCCTCGTTATTTTTAC